CTCCCCCGGAGGGCTCAGAGGCCAGGCTGGGGAGCTTGGAGTCCTTCCCGAGGGCGATGGGGAACCATGGGGTGGTACTGAGAAGTTGAGGGACACAGGTTATCTCTGAATGTTAGAAAGATGCCTTTGGGAGGGAGAGGGGCACACTCTGGGCAGAGACTAGAGGCGGGCAGGAGGCTGGGGTGATGGTCCCCATGGGACCGGGACAAAGAGAATGCCACAATTCTTAGCCCATGGTCTCTAGACTTCTAGAGAGATCCAGCAGAGTCTGTAACCCTGCATGCTCTCTGCCAAATGGTGTGCTTCCATTTTGACAAAAGTAAAAAGAGAAAGAAGGTGCAAATCACTTTGACAATGTTTTATGCCACTTGATACAGTGTGCAGTCGATTCTCCTTAGTCACCGAACTGACGGTCTATGACATCCCGGGACACTGAGTCACTGATACTGAGCCACTGTCCCTGGGGGGGAATATGGCATTAGTTTCCTGCGAGACTTTGGTCACGAGTTTTCTGTTCACAGATCAATTCATAAGCTTGTTTTCCGTGTATTTCTGTTTCAAGAAATCTTGTCTAGTACATCTCATTGGTTCTCTGACATTGGACTCACAACCAACAACATTGTAGCTCACACCTGGAGCAAAGGTAGAACACACACATTTTCTCCTTAAGGCAAATCCCAGCCCCCTAACTGCTTGGGACACTAGACAGCACTTCTGTGCTATGTTCAAAACTGCCAAATCACCGACAAAAAGCGCAATACTGAAAAAAGGACACTTTGAAAGCTGAAACAAGAAGGCATAGTGTCACCTTGGCCAACCTTAGCTGGGGACATGTGTCAAACTCCAACTGCTGGCCGCTCTGCGCATGCCTGTGAACAAGCTTGGATAGTTAATTCTGGGGGGTTACAGACATGTTCGAGTGGGTAGGTGAATTTGCAAATACAGAATCTGCCCATGATGAGCCTGGCTGTATATCCAAAACATTATCATGTCATCGTGTAATTAATATAAATATCATCAACGGATAGTTTACATTCTCTTTTTCGTGCTAAGTCTTTGAAATCCGGGGTCTATTTTGTACTCACAGCACATCTCAATTTGGACCAGCCTCATTTCAAGTCCCAGCAAGCCACACAGACATGGCTAGTGGTTTTTGTGTCAGACAGTGCAAGTCTTCATAGCTTTCTTCAGGTTCTCAAAGGTACCTAGGAACTTGAAGGAAAAAAATTAAGCAATGTCAGATACAGTCATGTTGGAGGGCTGCGTGGCAACATCTAAGAACGCTGCACATTTTTATTTGCACCAAGAAATCCACTTCATGGCCAGTGCCGCACGAAGTGCACCCTTTAGCACAAGGCAATGAATATAAGCACATTTTCTCTGCACCCCTGCTTGTAAGAGCACGATACTGGAGAAAAATAAAATGTCTGTGCTCAGAAGAACGGGTCCACAAAATACATTGTGTCCATACACTAGACTGTTGAACATCTTTGCAAAGGAAAGAACCCGAGGTCCATATAACAACACAGATGAAACTTGCAAACGGGGTTGAGCTGGTGAGGACAAAGGCAGAGCTAGAGGTCAGGCACATGCTACTATTTATACAACTTTAAACACATGCAAGGTGAAACTCTATGGCAGTTATAGATTGATACATATGTAACAAAAGTATTTTTTTAACAGGAGGAATAACAGACACCTCAGTTGGGGATAGTGGTTACTTCTGGGAGGGAAGGGAAGGATTTGGAGAAGGGTAAGTACACAGAGGATTCCAATTATATTTTAGAAGTTTTATATTTTCGGCTGGACGTGTAGGCGCTCAGGATGGTTATTTGGGATGTTTGGTGGGGGGTGTGCCTGAAATAGTCTCTTTTTTATTGTTATTTTGTTTTTTAACAAGATGATGAATTATTATTTTTTTAATTTAAGTACTGTCAGTTACAATGTGTCAGTTTCTAGTGTCCAGCCCAATGTCCCAGTCATGCATATATATACATATATTTGTTTTAAGGTTCTTTTTCAGTGAAATATTCTTTTGCATGACAAACCATAGCGAAGTTTTGTGCTGCTGTGTGAGACAGCACGTGTGGCCTGTCTGTGCCTTGAAAAATAATAGAACTGTTATCATAGATCACAAGATTCCTGAATGGTTGTATAAAGCCCCCAGCAGAGTGTCTGGTCTCTTCCAACTGCCATGAGTGTATTTGTTAATAATAATGATAGTTAGGCAATCATTCTCTTTTAGGTGCTACATTTAGTGTTTTCATCCATTCTTTTATTTTTAACAGTATTTATTCAATGTATGGATGAACAAAAGCCCCCCGCCTCCCGGGTACAATACTGTGAACACACAAGTGGGGGGAGTCTAGTTTTCATCATGATGTACCGTGATACCACTAAGGGTTGAGATTTGACTGACTGGCTTATAACCCTACTATTTCCAGACAAAACATTTTGATGTAATGTTATAGCTTTTTCTTTTCTTTTCTTTTTCTTTGCATCTCTTTTTCGGCCCAAGGATGGGGTGAGAGGACAGGTGAGTTAAGTTATCAACTACACAACCTTTGAAGTGCAAGTTAATTCTTTATGTGATCTTTTAGTATTATTTTATTTGTAAAAATATATAAAATACATAAATAGTGTGTAAGAGATATACTATCTGTAATACATAGCATATATAATACATCATATAGTTATACGTAAGGTAATGTGGAGTGTATTTATTATTGTATTGATATAATAATTATATATTGTAAATATGTAATACATTACACATAAGAAATGTTTAAGAATAACACTCTGGGTAGGTCCTATAATTAGTCCCATTTCATAATGAGGAAACTGAGGCCCAGAGGCAGCTGGACACTTGTCAGGGAGCACTCGCTTGGCCAGGGGGACAGAGGCAGAAGGTCACAGGAGGAGCCTTTGGAGGCTGGAGAGCAGGAGACATGGTTGGGAGGCAGAAGGCCAGCTTTAACCAGGGGTGTGTGCACCCCGGGCCAGGGCCTGAGCCTCCCCCCCACCCTCCGACCACACCTGCCTCTCCAGGTCACTCCGGGTGACCCCGCAGGGCAATGTTGCTAAATGGGGAGGTGCAAAGCTCCCCGGATCATCAGTGAGCCTGGAGGTGGGGGGGACGACTGGGGAGGGCTGGAGGCCCACAGCGTCCCCTCTCACCCTCCTCCTGGGGGACCCTGCACATGCACAGCGCCTCAGGCCCCACAAGAGGGATCAGCTCCAGCCTGCACTGGGTGGGGGGGGAAGGGGGCAGCCTGGGGTCCCCAGAGCCTTGGGGACCCTGGCTCTGCCTCTCGCTGGCTGGTGACCAGTGCCTCTGCTTCTCCAGGCCTCAGTTTCTCCCTTAGGAAATTGGGAGCCATCATTTGGCTTGCCCAAGCCTTGTAGGAAGGACTCCACAAAGTCTTGAATTAATTAAAAAGGGAGAGAGAGCAAACCAGGGCCTTATACCTGATAAGCATCATTGCATTAGCTCATTTTAGTTTTAGTTTCTGAATAGGTAACGCATGCTGTGGGGGAAATTCAAATAATGTGAATTAAAAGTTCCCCCAAAGCCGTGTGTTGACATGGATTACTGACTCAACTAAAGCAGCAACAGAAGACTCATCTGGGAAAATGCGGGACGCAGAGCAAGGACCGGGTGTTAGCTCATTTTAAGGGATAACCTTTAGCGCCGTTTGATGTGACTGATAAACGTTTTGTGGTTGAGCTGGAAATTTTCCTTACTTTGATAGAGACGTAACCTTGAGTGCTGGGGCACAATTTGTCACAATGTCTGTAGTTTATTGGGCCACTTTTAGCTTTTTATGAGGGAAAATTTCCAGCAGAATCAAAGAGAAAGAGCAAAAGGAACCTCCTTGTCTGCAGTAACACGCGCTGTGGCCGCAAGGCGCCCCGCCCTCACGCGGGCATGATGCTCTCCCACTGGAGTATTTGAAACCAAACACCACGCAGCGTATCGTTTCACCCCAAAGATTTGTGCAGGCCGTAATTTACTTTAAAATACCCCGTTCCCCCAAAAGAAAAGAGAGAGAAAGTGATATGCAAAAAATAACGTTTGTGAAGCCTGGCTTTGGGCTGGAGGCGCTCACTGGGGCTTTTCCCCTCCAGTCTGTGCTTGCAACTTTGCACAAACCTCAGAAAGCCCAAGAGCAAAGGAAAATCTCCCTCTGCCCACCCCGGCCCCGCCCAGCTCCCCAGGGCCAACAGAGGAGCCAGTTTCCTGGGGATCCTTCCAGAGGCCCGGTCACTGTTCTAGCCGTGTTTTTATTAATAGCAGTTTGTAGTAGTAGCGGGAACCTGGTGGGGCAGGCGTCCCGCTGAGTCACACAGACCTGGCCCAGATCCCCCGACACCTCCTCCCCTCTGACCTCGTGTAAGCTGATCGCAGCCTTGCAGAGCCTCAGTTTCCTGCTCTGTAAACTGGGGATAAACCCCCACGCTTCTGGGTGGCTGGGAAGAGCCAGCGTGAAGGCCTCAGCAGAGAGCTGGGCTCAGAGCTGTGCTGAGTACACGAAAGAAGCCTTTTCCCCCAGTGTCTCTCGGCTATTAAGGGCCCCTGGGTCTGAGGGAGGAGGGGCTGGGGGCTGGACCCCTGGGTCTGAGGGAGGAGGGGCTGGGGGTCTGGACACCTGGGTCTGAGGGAGGAGAGGCTGGGGGCCTGGACCCCTGGCCTGAGGGAGGAGGGGCTGGGGGTGGGGACTCAGTATTAAGGAGCTCTGGGAATGGTCTCCCTGGTTCCTGGAGGCCAGCGCTCCGGGCCCATGGAGGAAGGTGGAGGCAGAAAGTCCTGGGTCTCCACCCCAGGTAAGGCATGTGAAGGGGCCAGTCTCCCCTTTTCCTGTGGCTCTTAGGCCCGGCTCTTGGGGGTTCACGATATATTTTGTCCCCTCTGTCCTGGGACCAGAGCCCAGAGTCCAAGCTGGTCTAAGTTTGGAAGGGGGAGGGAGGGGGGCAGCAGGTCAGAGGGGGTGAGGGAGGGGTGGGGGGGACAGGATGTCTCTGAGCTGTCACACACACCCCTGTCCCGGGCCCAGAGAAAGGGAGGGACAAAAGGCTCTGAGAGAGAGTCAGAAACAAAGACGGGAGGAGGGAGACGGAGAAACACTGGGGAGAGGAGGCCAGAGAGGGGGACAGAGTGCGGACATCCTGAACGACAAGCAGGCAGACAGCGGCCACAGTGGGAAGAGCGTGGGGACAAGGGCGAGGGGCCAGGGACCAAGAAACAGGACAGGGAGACCCACCCTGGAGACCCAGGAGCCAGAACAACAGCAAGACAGGGACAGGGAGTGTGTGAAGAGAGAGGAGAGACAGTACGGGAAACCTCTGGACTTAGACAGACACACAGGGAGACAGAGGCAGACCCTCTTGGACGAGCTCCTCGGCCTGGGCTCTGCCAAGGCGGGCAGTGGGGCTCAGTGGGCTGGCTGCTTTTCGGGGACCCCCGACCAGGGGCACTTACCTGAGGGCCAGCTGACACCAGGTGACCCTGAGATGGAGCTCAGGGACTCCAAGAACCACGAGGATGGGGACCCGGAGGTGAGAGGTGGGAGACAAGGGAGGGAGAGACTGAGAGTCAGAGCCAGAGACAGAGATGGAGAAGGCCGGGGGCAGACACAGAGAGACACACAGAAAGAAAGGGAAGAGACAGGGAAACAGAAACATCAAAGACCCAGAATAAGGCAAACCCAAGGAGACACAGCCAGACCGAGGCCCCCGGAGAAATGTACTCAGAAGCAAAGAGCGGGAAACACAGGAAGACGGGAGGGTGGGGAGAGAGACAGTGCACCAGGGGGCTGTGCGGGCTGAGGAGGCAGCCCCAGCTGGGGCTGGGGGCTTCTGGTGGCTCCAACAGATGGCGATGGGCAGGGTCACTGACACAATCACCCATAACCCCGCCAGGACACAAAAACAGGTGGCCTGAGGCTGGGTGAGTCATTGTGACTCATCCTCCTCTCTGGGGACAGTGACCCCGTCCCCCAGCTCCCCACATCAGCCCTGGGCCAGGCCTCCAATTTCCCCACTGCTCTCAGTGGGCCCTGGACTCACCCCCTCCCCACTTCTGTCCCTCTCCTACAGGAGGACACAGCCATGGCCCTCCAACGGCTCGTGGAGCTGACGGCCACCAGGGTGACTCCAGTGAGGAATCTGCGTGTCCAGTATCGCCTCATCCGAAAACTCGGCTCCGGCTCCTATGGCCGCGTGCTCCTTGCCCGGCATCGCCAAGGGGGTGAGTTTGGCCACCAAAGGAAAGGCTCCAGGACGTCCTCCTAATAGGGACTAGGAAGCCACCGAGACAGGGAGCGTCCTTGCGGATAGCTGGCAAGGACCCTTGATGGGGCTCTCAGACAGTTAAGAGTTCAGTAATATTCCATAAAACAGAGGTCACCCAGAGAGGGTGAGAGACTTGCCTGAGGTCACACAGCAAGGCAGAAGCACAGCTTGGATTGAAACTCAAGTCACCACGTCCCCTACTTTAGGCGAGAGGAAACTGAGGTCCAGAGAGGGCAAGGCAGTTGTGCGAGACCACCCAGCAGCCTGAGTCAGAGCAGGAAGAGTCCTCAGGGAAGATCCCCTCCCACCTGCACTTCACAGACGGAGAAACAGGAGCACAGAGAGATCAGACAATATACCCTGCCCTTCTTGTATCATGCGTGAGACATCTGGGGCTCAGAGAGGTTAAGTGGCTTGCTTAAGGCCCCACAGCAAGATCAGAGCACCCTGAAGTCTTCCGCCCCCACCTCCCTAGCAGGTCCGGCTGTAGCTCTGAAGCTCCTACCTCGGGACTCGGTCCTGAGAACCACCTTCCTGAGAGAGTTCTGCGTAGGCCGCTGTGTGTCATCTCATCCAGGCCTGCTCCAGACCCTGCCGGGCCCCCTGGAGACACCCCGACACTTTGCCTTCGCCCAGGAGTATGCGCCCTGTGGGGATCTCAGCGGGATGCTGCAGGAACGGGTGAGACAGGCAGGGGATGCAGGCTGGGACTGCTCATCCCAGATCTGACTGTGCCCCTCACCCCAAACCTGTCTCCAACCCTGACCCCCCAAAGCAGTGCCCAACCCAGCTCCTCCCTAAGCCCCCAAACAACCTCCTTATTTCTAATTCTCAGTGCAATTCCATGTCTAACCCTAACCCTAATCTATCCAAGCATCCGGACATGAGCTTGCCTGGGCAGGGAGCTGGGGTTGATGGATCAGGTCTGATGGAGGGCGTGGGGATGGAGAAAGAGATGGGCTTCCATTGGTATTGGGACTGGGAGCAGGTGTGGGCAGGTGGGTGAGTCGAGTTGAGGGCTGATTACAGATTGGTAAGGGGTGTGGAGGAGAGTGTGGACGGGGCTGCAGCACAAAGTAGGAATGATCGAATATGTGTATAGAGATTGAGTTCTCTCTAGAAAGACCATCAGGACTGATCCTGGATATTCTGGAGATAGCTGAGTTTGAATTTATGGTGAGTCCATCTTTAGGAATAGACTTTGGATTTGAGATAGGGTTGAGGATAAACAGAAGGAACGAAGGAGGGAGAGAGAGAAGGAAGGAGAGAGTGGGATGGATGGATGGATGGGATGGATGGATGGATGGGTGAATGAATGGATAGGTGGGTAGATGGATGGATGGGTGGGTGAATATTTGGAAAGATTGGTGGATGGATGGCTGGATGGATGTTTGGATAGGTAGATGGATGGATGGATGAGTGGGTGGATGGAAAGATTGGTGGATGGATGGATGCATGGATGCATGGATGGTTGAATATATAGAAAGATTGGTGGACAGACGGATTTTGGATGGATGCGTGGATGGATTGAAGGAAGGAGGGATGAATGGATGGATGTTGGATACTAAATAACTGGATAAATTATTGAATTGCTGACTGGATGGTTGAATGGATACTGAGTAGAAACACTGCTATCGAGGCTGCCGGCTGGATGACGGCTTTGATGGATGGATTGCTGTCTGGCTGCCTGGCTAGCTAGATGGATAGACCTATTAATCAGCTGATGAAGTAAACTGCGGGACTTTTTAGAACTGGGCCTGAGTTAGAGATGGGGTCTGTATTGGTACAGGACAAAGATTAGGATTAAGTGTGGGGTTTGGATTCTCATTGATGATCTGAGTGGTTAGTTTAGAGGAGATAAGAAATATAAGGAGTGGATCTGAGTGCTGGGAGAAAGTCTGATGAGCTTTTAAGGAGCTTCTGGTAGCCTAGTGAGACGTGGGCTCCTGTGAGGAAAACATTGGGCGCTGGCCTGCAGGAGCACAGGTGTGGGGGCAGGTTGTGGTTGAGGACGATCTGGAGAAGGTCCCGGGGGGATGTTGTGGGGACCCTAGAGATCTCTGGTCTGGAATTCTGGATTCTTGAACCTCAAGAAACAAAACATAGAAGGAACCAAGGCAGTTTGACCTTCCTCCTCTCTCCTTGACCCCAGGCCCTCCCAGAACTGCTGGTAAAGCGGGTGGGGCCCAGCTAGCTGGAGCCCTGGACTTCCTCCATGGCCGGGGGCTGGTCCACGCGGACGTCAAGCCAGACAACGTGCTGGTCTTTGACCCGGTCTGCAGCCGTGTGGCCCTGGGTGACCTGGGTCTGACCCGGCCTGAGGGCAGTCCAACCCCTGCCCCCCCCAGGGCCACTGCCCTCCGCCCCACCTGAGCTCTGCCTCCTGCTGCCACCTGACACCCTGCCCCTGCGACCAGCAGTGGACTCCTGGGGCCTGGGGGTGCTTCTCTTCTGCGCTGCCACTGCCTGCTTCCCATGGGATGTGGCACTGGCCCCTGACCCTGAGTTCGAGGCCTTTGCTGGTTGGATGACCACCAAGCCCCAGCCACCTCAACCACCACCCCCTTGGGACCAGTTTGCGCCCCCAGCTCTGGCACTGCTCCAGGGGCTTCTGGACCTGGATCCTGAGACTAGAAGTCCCCCACTGACTGTCCTGGATTTCCTGGGGGATGACTGGGGGTTAAAGGGGAACAAAGAGAGAGCTAGGGGCTTGGGGAGGATGTCCAGTGAGGATGCGGAGGAGGAAGAAGAGAGGGGAGCAAGCCTGGAAGAGTGGTCAGAGGAGGAGGATGGCGACAAAAATGGTGGGAGGATGGGGACAGATGGGGGAGAGCCCTGACCAGGTGATGGGGACAGGTGGCCGGAGCCAGGGCCAAAGGCCCTTCCCCCAGCCCCCATGGCCACCTGGATGGAGAGACAGCTGCTCCCGGGAGGACAGAGACAGAACACATTGCACCTCTCCCAAATGAAGGCTGGACTTGGTTGCAAAATGCCTCCCAGCTGAGGACTTGGGAATCCGGGATCCCCGGTACCCCGTCCCTCAGACTCAGGACTCCAGACCCCATCTCCTCCTCCCTCAGACCCAGGGGTTCTAGCCCCCTCCTCCCTCAAGGACCCTTCCTTTTCTGTCCCGAATGTGTCCTCTTGAAGGAAGGTGCCGTTTCCCCCACAGACACACTTCTGCACTGTGGGGACATGCTGGGCGCTTATCACGGAGCTCTGATGCAGTCACCCCTCTCCTCTGAGACTTCAGGCGACCCCCACGGTCCGTGGCACCGAGTCTGGACTCTCCAGATCTGACACCATGGAGATCTCGCCCCCTACCTCTCCCACTGCCCTGGGCTCTGGGCGGCGTTGAGGGAGCCACTCACCCTTTCTAGACCTAAATCTCCACACACTCAGTGCTCACATGCACACAAGCACGCTCCTGCAGACTTTCGCACATCCTGTGTTCTCCCCTAGGATGCCTTCTTCCCGACTCCAGGCCTCCAGACGCCGGGCCCTGGCCCAGGGCCTCTGCGGCTTGCCTGGAGCCTGTAGCCCCGTGATCTGCGTCTCCACCTTTTCCCTCTCCCCCTCGGGCTGTCCAGGAGGGACCTGGGCTTCTTCATTCCTCCTTTTGGGTCCTGCTCCCACATGGCGAGCTTCCTGTCCAGCTCCCTGAGAGCATGCACACCGTGCATGTGAGGGCCACGGCTGGTGTGCAGGGATGTCCAGGTGACCCGGGCTGGCCCTACGCCACCCCTGTCACAGCACACAGACCCCTGGCCTGTGAGGCTTCCCCCTGCAGGGCAGGGCCACGTGGATCAGGGGCCGTGTCCCCAGCACCCAGCACAGGGTCAGTTACCGGGACCTGCTTCCTCCATATCTTAACCAGAACTAGGTTTGACAGTTAATGTCTCCATTTGGACAAAGGCACCGGTGGCTGTGGGAGGTATTAACCTGGCGGGGAGTGGGTGAGGGGACTTGGGAGCCCAACGCGGCTGTTCTGTAAATCAAAAAATGATTCTGAAATAAAAAGTTGATTTAAAAAGAACTGAGTTCATACCGGTCATCTAGCTATAAACCTGGGGGGTGAGTGCGGCCCTCCAGGGCCCCCATCTCCCCCCTCAGCCCTGGGAGTCCCTGCCTGTTCCCACCACCCACTTTGAAGTCTGCAGACTCGGAACGTGGACTCCCCTCCCTTTGCCCCCTCCCCTGAGATCCCTCACTTCCCAGTTGCTGCACCACCTGCTTCTCTGCCCCCCCAAGTCTGAGGTCATCTCTCACTGCATCGTTCTGGAATCCTGTTGTCTCATCCTTTCCCCAGACAGGACCCCAGTGTCTCTGCCCCTGGACACCCCTCACCAAACACTTGTGTCTGACCTGTCAATGGGGCATTGATGGGGCAGCTGGGTGGGGTCAAGGCAGGGGCAAGCTAGGGAAATGATTTCATCCCCTACAGAGGGTCTGGTCTCCTGGGTCTGAGGGAGGAGGGGCTGGGGATCTGGACCCCTGGGTCTGGGGGAGGAGGGGCTGGGGGGTCTGGACCCCTGGGTCTGAGGGAGGAGGGGCTGGGGATCTGGACCCCTGGGTCTGGGGGAGGAGGGGCTGGGAGCCTGGACTCCTGTCCTAGGTCTGAGGGAGCGAATGGGGGTCTGGACCCTGGGTCTGAGAGAGGAGGACCTGGGGGCCTGGGCCCCTGGGTGTGAGGGAAGACGGTCTGATTTCCTGGTTGGGACATCTGTCTGGGCACAGCCAGTTCTGGGAGATAACACACGATGTCGCTCTCCCCCGAGTGAGGTGGAAGGGGCGAGGCCTGGGGCGGGGCTACGACCCCCTAGGTGGGGGCGGGGTCTTGCTCCAGGGCAGGCCTCTGCTGGCATGGGCTCTTAGTACTGGGCACTGACCACAGCGGGCAGCCGAAGGGTCAGGCAAGCTTTGGAGAAGGTGAGGTCTGGAGGTTGGAGAGCGGGTCAGGAGGAGGCAAGGGTCAAATGGCCTGAGGTAGGCAGCACCTGAGAGTGAAGCCAGCCAGGCGGTCAGAGTCCTGGGTCCCTCAGGGGCTCGTCTACAGACCTTGACACTGCAGAGGGGCTGAGTTAGGGACACAAGGTCTGGGGGTCTCACAGCGTGTGAATTGTATGAAGTCCCAGCAGAGGGGTCAGCTGGATGTCAGGCCTCGGGGGTCTGAGGGCGGAGGAACTGAGGGCCCAGACTCCTGCGTCTGAGGGAGGAGGGACTGGGGTCCCGGAATCCTAGGTCTGAGGCAAAAGGGCTGGGCTGTGAGAGTTGGACCCCAGGCCTTTTAAGGGCTTGGGGATGGATCCCAAGTGCTTGCTCCCCTCCAGGACCCAGGCGTGCCCGGGCCCTGGTGTGTGCAGCCCACTCTCCCTGCAGGCAGAGGGCACCTGTTTTCTCTTAGGAGACTGAGGCTGCTCATCCACCCCCAGGGCCCAAGTCTGTTTGCTTTGGAAACAAGGTGGGGGGGTGTCTCGAGTTATCTGGTTCATCTTTCATCCTCAGGCCATCAGATGGCGCAGGGATGTGGGGGCGGGGTGAGGGACATCTGTGGCCTCGAGCCTGACCTCACCCCAACCAGGGACTGGTCTCCTTGCTCCACAGACGCCTCTAATAAAGAGAGAAACTGAGTCAGAGCGGCCTGTGCCAATGATCCTCCATCCCCCTCCCTCAGACCCAGGGGCCCAGGCCCCCAGCCCCTCCTCCCTTGACCCCTGGTCTGGCACCCCTGGTCTGAGTCCTGGTCACCCTCTCTCCTCTGCCCTTGCAGAGATGCCTGGCAAACATTCAAATGAGGAACAGTTGGTGATGGGGGCTGCAGAGAACAGAGCTGATGAGGACCTGGGGGGCCTCACGGCAGAGGAGCTGCGTCAGGGCCAGAAGGCGGCCCTGGTGCTGGAGGACACGATGGCCCTGAGCGCCCAGACCCTGGTCCAAGCCGAGGTGGATGAGCTCTACCAGCAAGTGCGTCCCTTGGGCCAGGGCCGCTTCGGCCAGGTCCTGCTGGTCACTCACCGTCAGAAAGGTACCAGGGCCTGGAGACAGAGGCGGGGGGGCAGGCGCGTGAGCCCAGGCAGAAGCCAGCCAAGGCTGGGGCGTCTGAAACCTGAATCAAGTCTTGTCTCTGCCCCTTCCAGGCTGTGTGTCCTTGGTAACCCCCCTACCCTATCTGAACCTCAGCCTCCTCCTTTAGAAAGTGGGTGAAGATTCCTTCTCTGAAAGAACTGTGACTCTCCAGGAGACGTCACTGCTCGAGTTGTTGGCGACACGGGGAGGAAGACAGAGCCCCCACCATGGCCCTCACGTGTGGCTGGCTTAGTGGTCACTGTGGGGAAGACTCAGAGTCATGCTGTCTGCCAGGCTCTCAGCGAGGCTAGCACCCAGTGGGTGGGCAAGGCATGCTCCCCCGACCCCAATCTGGTCAATATCTTCCAAGGAGACCGGAGGGGTCAGCCCTGTCTGGGGTTGGGGGTGGGCTGGACACCCAGGGAGGTCAGCCCCGCCTTCGGGGAGCTCTCAGCCTGAACGGGGAGAGGGTGTACGTTTCCTAAGGCTATTATAACAAAGTAGCGCAGACTGGGCTCACCGTTCTGGAGGCTGGGAGTCCAAGATCAAGGTGCTGGCAGGGCTGGCTTCTCCTGAGGCCTCTCTCCTTGGCTTATGGATGGCCACCTTCTCCCTGTGTCCTCGTGTGGTCTTCCCTGGGTGCATGTCTGTGTCCAAATTTCCTCTTCTTATAAGAACACCAGGCCTACTGGAAGAAGGTCCACCTCAATGATTTCCTTTCACCTCTTTCAAAATCCGATCTCCAAACACAGCCCTAGTCTGTGAGCCCCGGGGAGTTAGAACTTTGACGTGTGAGTTTTGCAGGGGGCGGGGGTAGGGCTGCTGGTGGTGGACACGAGTCAGCCCATAACAGAGAAGGATGCAAGGAGAGACGCAGAGCTGGGGCGTCAGAGAGCCTGGAGGCGCGCGTGTAACAGGGAACAGCTTTTGCTGGGAGGCCTCGTCCACCTGCGCTTCATTTAATGTGCACCTTGAGGCCTCCTAGATGCCCTCCCTGGGCTGGGCAGCACTGGGGCATGAAGACAGAGCGCTCCGAGAGGCTCATGGCACGGGTGGGAGAACAGATGACAAAATAGCTGGTGGCAGGTGCCACAATGGCAGGAACTCAGGGCACTCTCGATGCACAGAGGAGGCCCTGCTGCAGCCAGCTGGGAATGGCTAGCATTTCAGGCACAGAGACCACCTTCCTCCATCAACACAGCCTCTTAGTGGGCAAGCCTGGGCTCCTGGCAGCTGGTGACTCAAACATTGAAGAAACCATATGATATTTGTCTCTGTCTGACTTACTTCACTTCGTATGATCATCTTTAGGTCCATCCATCCGTGTTGCTGCAAATGGTATTACTGTGTTCTTTTTATGGCTGAGTAGTATTCCACTGCATAAATATACCACAACTTCTTTATCCAGTCACCTGTCAATAGACACTTAGGTTGTTTCCACATCTTAGCTATCGTAAACAGTGCTGCTATGAGTGTTGGGGTGCACGTGTCTTTTCAAAGTAGAGTTTTTGTCTTTTTGGATGTATGCCCAGGAGTGGGATTGCAGGATCCTATGGCAACTCTATTTTTAGCTTTTTAAGGACCATAATGAAAAAGAAACAAAAATTGAAGAAACCAGAGTTTCTGCCTTCTGGGAGCTTCCATTCTAGGAAGTCATTTCTGCAGGTGGCAAAATTCATAATAATTCCTTCGTGGGGTCTCATACCCAGTGCACGGTGTCTTTTCCCCAGTCGCCTCGAGCAGGGCTTTTTGGCATGGGTTTGCCAGAACGAGGGGCCCAACAAGGTCATGGGGAGTTGTAGTTCAGTTTTCGTGGTCCTCCTCCACCTGTTCCAAGACAGCAGGGCAGGAACTCACTCAATGCTATAATTAATATTATTATTACTACCACTGGTGTGTTTGGGTGGCCATGCTATTTTAGGGTGGGCTTGGTGGGGGTCAGGATTTGGAGGAGGTGGAGATGGCCTGTTGGAGAGAGTCCAGGCTGAGGGGCAGCAGGGCTCTCCCACACTCCCCCACACCTGTCCCTGCGCCTCCAGGCACAACCCTGGCCCTGAAGCAGCTCCCCAAGGCCTCCACTTCCCTGCGTGGCTTCCTGTACGAGTTCTGTGTGGGCCTCTCCCTGGGCCCCCATCCGGCCATCGTGGCAGCCTACGGCATTGGCGTCGAGTCGGCCAACTCCTACAGCTTCCTGACCGAGCCTGTCCTGCACGGGGACCTCATCGCTTTCATCCAGCCCAAGGTGGGTCGGCCTCCCAGAGCCTCAGGGGGTCCCACTCGAACGCCCCGCCAACCTGGGCCTCAGGGATCACGCGCACTGCACGGTGACGCGCGGGGCCCACGGCTCTCGTGGGGTTCACCACCACGGAATCAACACCGCGCCCCGCCCAGCTTAGCAGCCCTCGCGGGCTCTCACCGGGCCCCGGGGCTCTCAGGCCTCACCCAGCCATCCCCCTTTCCCCTGCGCTGCTCCCTGGGGCCGAGGACAAGCTCCGCCAGCCCGTTCCGGTCTGGCTGGCCGGGGAGGCGCGGTGGGCGCTGACGCCCGTGCCCCGCAGGTGGGCCTCCCGCAGCCCGCGGCCCAGCGCTGCGCGGTCCAGCTGGCCTCGGCCCTGGAGCACATCCACTCCCTCGGCCTGGTGTACCGGGACCTCAAGCCGGAGAACGTGCTGGTGTGCGACCCGGCCTGCCAGCGGGTCAAGCTGACCGACTTCGGCCACACGCGGCCCCGCGGGACCCTGCTCCGCCTGGCCGGACCGCCCATCCCCTACACGGCGCCCGAGCTCTGCGGCCCCCCGCCCCTCCCGGAGGGCCCTGCCCATCCAGCCTGCCCTGGACGCGTGGGCACTAGGGGTCCTGCTGTTCTGCCTCCTCACTGGCTACTTCCCCCTGGGACCAGCCCCTGGCCGAGGCTGACCCCTTCTATGAGGACTTTGTCATCTGGCAGGCCTCGGGCCAACCCCAGGACCGTCCCCAGCCCTGGTTTGGCCTGACGCCCGTGGCAGACACTCTCCTGTGGGGGCTGCTGGACCCACACCCCCGAAGGAGGAGCCCCGTGAGCTCTGTCCGGGGCTACCTGGGGCAACCCTGGAGGCAGCGGGAGGGGGAAACCGAGGAGGTGTACGAGGGAGACACAGAATGAGGGAGGCTGGGGCCCAGCCCTCCTGGGGAGAGTTGGGAAGGGAAGCAGGGACCCCATCCGGAGTCTCCTCAGCATTCAGCGTGGCTCTTGGCTGCTCTGCTGTCTGTCTGTCCCTGCCTCATCATGTCCCCTGTTCTGATTCCCCATGCCTGGCCATCTGTGTGATCTCTGAGCGCCCCGGATCTGTCCACGACCTTCTCCATCTCCCCTGGAACAGCGCCTGCTATTCCCTTGGCCTGTGGTGTGATTGGCTCATCTGCCGCCTCCTGCCAGCCTCCCTCCGTGAGGCTGGCCTCCCCACCCGCAAAGGGACACTGCAGGGGCCTAGCCTGCCCTCCCAGCCCCCCCACCCGCTCTGCTCCCCTTTTGCCTGTGACGCTCCTTCCCTTCTCGTTGTCCGATAGATTTATTTGCTCATCGTGGTTATTCTGTGTGTCCTGCTGGAAGGTGGGCTCCAGGAGGGCAGGGATCCCGGCCTGCCCTGCTCTCTGACAGACCCACCGAGCAAGGCCCATCCCACCCCGGGTAGGTGGTCCACAGATGCTTGCTCAATAAACGGACCCATCTGGGTTTGCACCGCCTCCCTCCGCGTATGCCTGTCTTTCTGCCCTGGTGGTCTCTCTCTTGCTGAGTTTTGCTCCCTGCCTAACCCCCTCTGCCCCTCCCACGTGCCCGGTCCAGGCCCTCTTGATAACTGCTGTCTCATCTCTCCTTCCTGAGCCGCTCTCTGCAAATAAAGTCCATCTGGCGCTTAGGTCCCCACGACGCTGTTGGTCCGTCAGTCTGGGATTGGAAGGACAGCGCGTATGTGTGTGTGCACAGGAGAGCGTATCCTGGAGGAGAGACAGAGATGAGGAGGAGAGAGGGAAAGGGAAACAGAGACAGAAAGGGACAGGCAGAGAGACAGGCACACAGAGATAGAAAGAACGCAGAAGTGGTGCACAGGGTGATGGTGGGAGATGCAGGCTGGGTGCGCGCGTGTGAGTGTGTCTGGGGGCGAGTGTCCGTGCTGTGTCAGCACTGTTTGCACATATTTCTGCAGATACGCTTGAAAGCGTCCAGCTGTTTGTGGATGGGACGGGAGTGTGTATTTCTATGTATTTGTTTGTCTGTGAGGGTCTGAATCTGTGTGTGTGTACAAGTAATGGTGTGTGTGTGAGACAGAGAGAGACAGTGAGGGCTCGAACGTGTTTCACTGAATGTGGATGACAGGAGTGCGTTCATTTTGAGTGTCCGTGGGCATCTGAGCCCCCGTGTGCTCATGTAATTGTGTGACTGGGTGTGTGTGGTGGGGGATGGAAGTCTGAGTGTATCTCACTCTGTGCAGACACCGGATCCGTGTGAGACCTTGAGCCTGCATGGGGGGTGGTGTGTGTGTGTGTAGCTGGGATGACAAGTCCCACAGGCGTGGCTGCCAGTCACCAGCTGGGCCCCTCTCTCCTTCACACCTTCCCCCCTCTCGCCCTGGCCCCTTCTTGGCAGCAGCCCTGTTTGCAAACACTCTCTCTTCCTCTCTGTGCCCTCCTTGGCCACCCGCCCAGAGAAAGGCTACAACTCAGGGCTGGATCGTGTGTCCCTGGCCCCTGCATCACCCCTGCCACCAGGGCCCCTGCTGTGACCAACAAGGTGTTGCCTAGTGGAGGAAGGGGTGGCAGCATGTGTGGAGTGACCTCAAGGACCCTTTCAATCTAGAATTGAAGACATGGGCTCCTGTCCTGGGCAATCCAGGTGAGCTTCCTGGAGTAGGGGGTCATTGGAGACAATGAGATGGTGGGTGCAGTAGGGGGGGCCTGAGCAGGACCTGCTGCTGCCTTATCCATGAATCTGAAATAGCCCAGGCAGCGAGGCCAAGAATGTGTCCCAAAAAAGCTGGAGGGGGCAGGGGCAGGGGTGCAGCTGGGTGAGAGAGGAGCAGAGCTGAATGAGGGCAGGGGGAGGCCACAGAGGGCGCTAACTGGTGGCAGCAGCTGGGGATTAACTGGGAGGTGATAATGACTCAGTGACTGGCCCCAGCAGCAGGGCCGGAGAAAGGGCCCGAAGGGGGCTAATTAAGTATTAGCTGCTTAATTACCTGACACACAGGACTAATCGTGATACTCCGCACCAGGGGAGCTGCTCGCCCCACAAGCAGCTCCCAGCAGGCGGCTCCTGCTGATGGCACTGGAGGGGGTCCCTAAGATGCTCCCACTTCAAGGGTGCATGCAGGGGGCCCAGAGCAGCCAAGATGCCTGCCTGAGCTCACACAGCAGGTGGGGCAGAGGGAGGATTCGAACCCAAGCCAGCTCCTGTCCAAGGTCCACGGTCTGAAGCTGCAGGCGTATCCCACTCAGGACCTGGGGCGGGGCCTTGAGGGGACGGGGCAGGGGCACAAGCACACGTGTGTGAGCATGGGTGTGCGTGTGACAGAGCGAGGATGAGTGTGAGTGTGTTACTCTTTGCAGGTGGGAACGTGACAGGGCATGAGTGTGACAGTGTGAGTGTGAGCAACGTTTGGGAAGGGCAGGTAGTTGTACATGTGGGAGTGAGTGTGGGAGACTGTGAGTGCAGGTGAGAGCTGTGTGAGCGTGTGGTTGTGTGCTGGTGAAGTGGCCGTCCCCTCCTTGTTGGAGACCAGAATTGGGGCACCTATATGGTGACGATAGAAAAGGAAAGTTGAAATGCCTTCAGATCCAGGCAGTGGCCATAATGGAAAGACAGAGAGTCACACGTGCTGCTGAGGAGGTGGAGGGGTCAGAGCCCTCTCCCAGGGCTGGTGGGATATAAAAAGTGGGGCAGCCGCTTTGGAGGACTGAAATGTTAAACATGGAGTTACCGTATGGCCTGGCAGTTCCGCTCCTAGGTATATGCCCACGAGAAATAAAACCATGCATCCACCCAAATGTCCACGGCAACATGATTCACAATAGCCAACAGGTGGAAACGACCCAAGTGTCCACTGACTAAGAGATAAAAGCAATGCAGTCTCTTCTGACAGTGGAGTATTACTTAGCCGTGAAAAGGAAAGACTCACTGACAAGCGCGGCATTATGGATGAACCTCAAAATCATGAAGCAAAGCAGGGCCAGCCTCAGAAGACGATCTGCTGTAGGAGTCCATTTATGTGAGATGTCCAGAACAGGCAAATCCACGGAGGAAGAGAGATTAATGATTGCCTGGGGAAATGGGGAGTGACTGCTAATGAGTACAGGTTTTCTTTTAGAGGGTGGTGATGGTGATGGAAACATTCTAAAATTAGATTTGCTGAGTGTTGCAGAAGTCTCTGACGGTATTAAAAATCATCAAATGGTATGTGTAAAAAGGGTGAATTTTATGGCATGTCAATTTTACCTTCATGAGGGTGTATAAAAAAACCAACAAACCAACCAAAAACAACAACAGCAAAAGAAAAACCCACGGGCATTTCTGAGGTTCTCATGCTGAGACCTTGATTGTGTTCCTTCCCGTCTCTGAGCCTCTGAGTTCCTATTAAAAAGAGAAGGAAAAGGGAAAAGCCCTGCCCTTTTTCTGATAGCGCTGCATGCAGGACCTACTCACCACCAGGACCCGCACGCGTCTCTCCCCATTGGACAGAAGACACTGTGGAGGCCCCTACTCTCCAAAGATCCTCAAGACAAACGGTGGCAGAGTCTGGATTCAAACCCAGCTCTGGCCTGATTCTGAAGTCTTTGTTCTGTACCGCCAGCTCAGCCCCTCAGAGTGTACCTGGGCCCATGATCACCAAGGACGTTCTGGCTACCCACCTCCCCTCTGTGGGGGAACCCCAAGTGTGCAAGCAGGACCAGTTACAAAATTTGTAGGTGTCCAGTGCAAAACACAAACTTGGAATTTCTTGTTAAAAAAAAAATTTTCCCTCCCTGTACCACCCCCATGTGCTATTGAATGTCACACTCCCTGGGCACCAGGATAATCTTGACCCTCAAGGGGGTGAGGAGTCATGGAGGCTGCCCGAGGGTGGACAGCCGGGAATCTGACCACCAGAACCTATTGGGGAAGCGCCCAGAGCATGCTCCATTGTCCCATCAACTTCAAAATACAGAATCATCAACTGCAAAATACAACATCCAAAATCACGAAGCACCGTCAGTACGGCTACTGACCACAGAGCACCAGACCCATGGCGCTGCACCCAAACCACAGCCTGCTTGTGGGGAAGAGTTCACCCGGGACCCAGAAGGGGGCCAGCCTGGCAAGGCTGCTCAGAGACGGCATCCTTTGCAGTGGACATTCTTAGTTCTGCTCCTGGGCAGCTATGCGTCACTCCCGCCCCTCCCCACCACCTCCCCAACCCCTGACCTTGTTAAAATGCAGATTCCAATCCAGCAAGCCTGGGGTGGCACCAGAAATTCTGCTTTTCTAACCGGCTCTTGGGTGAGGCTGATGTTTCTAGTCCATGGGTCACACTTGGAGGTGCAAGGTTTTGTGAGAACACGATTTTACAGTACTGCTCTTGAATTCTAGCTAAACTCTTATTGACGCTAAACACTGGTCCACTTGACTCTTTGAGGTTTTCTGTATGGTCGGTCACATTGCCCGTGGGAAATAGATCAGGGCCCCCCTTTCCACCCTTTATCTGATTAAGGAGCTTCCCTCTGCTCCTACTTAGCAAAGTGTGTGCGCGTGCGCGTGTGTATGTGCGTGAACGTGTTTGTAAATCATGAATGGGGGTTAATTTTGTCAAACGTTTTTTCTGTGGCAAGCTTGCTAGGCCTCTGTAGCTACTGTTCTGGGCTTGTTGCAATCTGGCAGGCACAAGACTGGGCTCAGATGTCCCGTGGGAGGTGTCCAACGTCAGGACCAGCCGTTGGTGGGGGCTGGCTGCCCATCCTGGCCACGGGCCCTGGGGCCAGATGTTTGGGCTTAGCTGCCTGGCCAAGTGGGGATAGAGTAACCGGATAATTAAGCACCCGCTTCTTTGGGGCTGGCAGAAGGTGGCAGAGGGTGGAGGGACCTTGGGCCCGAGTGCCCGACAGCCCCCCCTCAACCTTGGCTTGCAGAGGCCAGGAGCCTGAAACCCCAGTGGGGCCCTCTGTAGTGACTCAGAGCTGGGCATCACCTGCTCCCTCCTGAAAATGGAAGAGGAGACTTCTTGCCTCCAAGTTGGGGTGCCATCCTCGGAGCCCTGATGACCCAGGACGGCAAGGGGAGTGCAGGCACGGCCTTCCCCAGGTTACCAGTCAGCAGTTATTTAAGTCTTAGGGCTTAATGGGACCTGGGGACAGGGTTCCCAGCATGCTCCTTTGCCTGCTGGCAGGGGAAGGCAGTTCATCTATCAAGACCCCCAGACAATATCCCTCCCCACCCTCAGCAAGTAACTAGACCCCACTGGCCTTTGCCGGACTGCGGGGGCGCCAGCTCCGTGACCTTCCAGGGCCTCTGAGCCGGGCTCCAGTCTGGGCGGAGGGGGAGGAGGGAACGGCTTCCTGCTGCCTGATGCTGCAGGAGTCCGAACAGGACTTGTGGGTCTTCCAAGACAGCCCCCAGCTTGCAGGCTGAGGCCCAGAGAGAGGAGGGGTCTACCTCAGCGAGGGGTCATCGTGGAAGTCCCAAGCTGGAACCCCAGGCCAAGCTTGGAGCCGGGGAATCTGCCTTGTGTTATTCTGAGTCCCGCAGTTCTGCTCTGTGGCCTTAGGCAAGGGGCTTGCCCTCTCTGAGCCTCAAGGCCATTTCTGAAACAGGGATCAAGTTCCTCCCTCCACGGGCTATACTGAGGGTGGGATGTGGTGCATTAAGAGTCCACACTGGGCCGGGCACAGAGAAGCAGAGTTAGGAGAGGTCACGGTCACTTTTGTTAACTGAGCACTTGTGCCAAGTTCTGTCCTTACCTGCGTGAACTCGTCTAATCCTCGCAACCACCCCAGGAGGCAGGGGCAATCACTAACCCCATTGTGCAGGTGGAAAAGCTGAGGCTCAGAGAAAGGAAATTAACTGCTAGAGTCCCACAGCCAGAACATGGTCTCGAATCCAGGATCATCTGACTTGGGCATGTAATTTCTTACGAGCAAGGGCTCTGGGTCAGACAGGCCTGGGTGCCAGTCATGACGCTACTACGTGTTCCCTGAGTGACCAAGTGTCTCTGTGCCTCAGTGCCCCGGTCTGTAAAATGGGGACACACACAATAACAACGATCACATAATGAGCACTCGCTGAGAGCCAGGCCTGGCCCAGGCACTCCTGCATCTGTGTTAACCCGTCAGTGCACCACCGCAGCTGCCACAGGAGGTGTGTGCTGCTGCTATTCCCGCTTTTAGAGTTGGGGAGACTCCAGACCAAGAAGGGAAGTCACTGGCGCAGGGTCATGCCCTCAGGGGCTCAAACTCAGGCACTTAGGCCCCTGTCTGCTGAGCTGTGCTGACCATATGCTCCTTGGCAGGTGTTCGTGAAGGTAAAATGACACCATGCGCACAAAGCCCTCAGAACAGAGCCTGGCCCGGAGGAGGTGCCCAACAAATATTAGTCATTACTATGATTACTATGTGCTCGTCCATCAGAAGGTATTAACGAGCGTGCGCTCCGGGTCAGGCTGTATTCCACGAGCTGGGCAGGCGTGCATCTGTGAACAAGACAGATTGCTGCCCTTGTGGAGCTTCATCATTGCCATCATCACCTCCACCATGATGATCACCATCATCACTTCCATCACTGTCAACATCACCACCATCATCTCCATCATCACCAAAAGCATCTTCACCATCAACACCATCATCTCCATCACCATCATCTCCTT